AGGGGCGGTGGTTCGCCCGGATCTGCAGTGGGCTTTCGCCCGCCGAGCGGTGCGTGCCCCGCAGTACCCGTTTGCGCTTCCAGTAACTGGACCGTTCCCCACTCTGCGTTCGCGTTTCGCAGATGGTGACACCGAGCCCCAGGGAGGGCGGGGCTTACATCGTACGGACGTGCGAGCTCTGTCATCTTTCCTCGCCGCTCGGTGACTCAGTTTCCCCCTCTGTAAACTGAGCGTAGGAGCCGTGCATAAGTTGTTGCGAGTCGGAGGGGGTCGGGCCCATAAAGAGCTCAGCACAGCGGGCGCTGCGAGCGCTGACCTCGTGGCGGAGAGGGAACATCCAGGTTCCGACCGGCCTGCGGCCCCGCGCGGGCAGATCCGCGCCTCGGGGCTGGATTAGTCGGGCCTACCCGCGCCCCGCCCCCGCCCCGCCCGCCCGCGTTCTCGCCGCCGCCTGCGCGCCCGCCAGCAGTGCGCCCGCCGCCGCCGCCGCCGCCGCTTTCTCCGGCCCTCGCCGCGCCCGACGGCGCCGGGGGCCCAGCGCGCCCCGAAAACCGCCCAGAGCGCGCCGAGTCGGCGCGGCCCGCGTGCGCGTCCCCGGCCCGGGCTCCGGCTAGGCAGGGCGCGCGGGGAGAGGGGCCGCCTCGACGGGCCAGGGTGGCGGGGGCCCGCGCTCCGCCGCCCGCGTCCATGCCGCCCGGCTCCGGCTCCGGCCCCGGCCCGAGGACTAGCGGCAATTGCCTGCAGAGCCCGTCACACCCGGGGCGCCCGCGCGGTGAGTGCGCGCTGGTGGCTCCGGGGAGGGATTCGGGACTTCGGGGGCCGGGGACGAGAGCAACCGCCCCCTCCAGAGGAGCGGGGCTCAGGAGAGGCCCCCGGCGCTCTGCCCACCCCGTCTCTCCCGGGAGCCAGGCGCGCGGAGACCCCGTGTCTCCCCGGCTGCGCCCCCGCGGCCCACGTGGCGGCCGGCGGGCGGGGGTGCATCCCTGCAGAGGGTCCCGGGCCTTGGCCAGGGCACTGGGGGGGCCCTTGGCGGAGGCGGGGCCGGGCGTCGTGGGGGACGCGCGCTTTTGTCTGCGCCCCGGCGGGGGCTCGGCCACCCCGGTTCCCGGCGCCCTCCGCGCTCACCTGCCCGGAGTTGGAGTTCTTTGTCTGGGGCGGGGCGCGGCCGGCGGAGGCTGTGCCGCGTGTCTGAGCGGAGGCTGCCCCGCGGGTCGGGTCCTCGAAGACAAAGCGCGCTGTGACCTCCGCCCGCCGCCGGGATTGTGCACCCTAGGGGAGTTAGTGCCGGCCGTGACACTCTCCCTACCGGGCGTGCCCCCTCCACCGAGACCGTGAACCTGCAGCCCGGGCACCTCCCACCTGTATTTTCGCCCGGAGTGACCCCTTTCTTCCGCCCCCACGCTGGCTCAGCGCCAGGTGTAGAGACGATGTGGCTGCCTGGGTCACATCCCAGTAGATGGTCTTCGGGAAGTTATTTGCACAGGTCTGGTGGCTGCCCTGGGGCTGCCCACCCCCCTTGGGTCTGCTGGCCAGCTCCAGACCCCTCCCCGTGGAATGGAAGGAGCAGAGGGACTGTGCTGCGCGAGCTCCAGCAGGAGCGTCTCTTTTCGTGCCCGCGGAAGGGGGCTGGCACGCGGGCGCGGCCCCGCAGCGGTCTGAGGGTGCCTGCCCGTCTGTTCAGAGCCTTCCCAGGTGGGCATGGCTGCGCCTGGCCAGATGTCCAGGCCTCTCACTGTGGTCCAGGAACCTGCCCGGGTCCCTTCCCAGAACCCCTGCAGGGACTCAGGTCCTTCAACTTCCCCAAGCAAACTTTAACTTGGGCCCTCCGTGGCATTGGGGGTGGTGGGGACTGGATGGACCTGGGAGAGTGCCTTCCCTCCTGCCTTTGCCAGGCTGGCATCCAGGGTGGGGAGTGGTGGGGAAGACACCCCCCCCCCCAGCCCCTCCACTGTTCCCCTAGAATTTCCAAGTGTCTGGGGCGCCACCTCCTGGCCCCTACTCAAGCCCCAGGCCTTGAACTGAACCAGCATGGCCTTAGGTGAACTTGCTCCCCCTTCCCCCCAGGCTGGGACCAAGAGGAGTCGTGCCCCACAGAACACACGAATTTTCTCAGTGCCGCCTCTCCGCGTTCCTTTCTGATACCGCCTTGTTCCGACAGGAATGGCTGTGTCAGAACAGGGGCCTCGAATGGGGTTGGCGCTTGGGGGCCCCCCCAGCTTCCCTTTCCCAGCCCAGACTCCTGGATGGTAATGGCAGCTGGGGTGGTGGGGCCTTGAGCTCGTTCATGTGCTCTGCCGAGAGATAAGGAGCCCCTGGCCGTGGCGCTGAGCTGGGGACCCTCGAGGCTGCTTGCGCAGTTAGCACCGTCCCTTTGGCCCAGAGGGCCTGTCAGCACAGCAGATGATGAAGACCTTAAGGGGCCGCCTCATCAGAGGAGACGGCTGGCACACAACAGCTCCTCTCATCGGTGGCAGTGCCCACGCACATCCAGGGCAGCTGAGGCAGCCAAGCAAGAAAAGACTTTCAGACCCGTGCCCTGGTGCTGGGGGCTGTGGGGGAGGTGGGCCTCACACAGCCTGGCAGGATCAGGGACAGATTGCAGTTGGGGGCACTGGGAAGACACTGGAGTGCTTGAGTTGGGGGGTGACCTGTTCTGATTTGGATTTAAAAGAGACTCTTGGCTTTGTGGAGAATTCATCTGTGGGCATGTTAACAAGCCCAGGTAATGAGAACAACAGAGCTGTCACTCGGGCGCTGCCGTGTGGTCCTGGGGTCTCTGGACGGGCCCTGGGAGGGTAGGTGACCCCTGTGCCATCAGGCAGGGGTACAGCGTGGGGGTGCAGTGGTCATCGCTCCTGGCAGATCTGGGGCCATGACTGCCATAGAGCAAACTCGCGTGAGCTGTCCTCCTGGTCACTTTGCAGACAAACAGACCAGGGGCCTGGCCCTGAGGGGCAGACGGGGACAGGCGCTGTCTGTCCCCCCAGCCCCTGCAGACCCCCAGCTCAGGTGGACACCCCATGGGGACTCCTAGGGGTGAGGTGATAATCCAGGGACTCTGACAGCCACTACTCACCATGTAGAATGTACCAGAAACAAACTTGGGAGAGAAGAGGTCAGATGCATACGACTACATTTCCGCCGCCACCGTCAGATAGAGAACGCTTTCATCACCCCAGAAAGCTCCCTCGTATTTTCTCTTAATTTTGTATTTATCATGGTAAGATACACATAACAAAACTTACCATCTTAACCATTTCTAAGCACACAGTGAACAAGCATTAAGCAAATTCACACTGTTTTGCAGCCGCCGCCGCCTCTATCCACCTCCGTCCACCCCCGGACTCCACCTGGAAAACGGGCACTGTCCCTACTAAACCCTGGCTCCCCCGTCCCAGCCCCTGGTGCCACTTCTACTCTGTATGAATCTGAGTCCTCAGATAAGTGGGATCCTCCAATGTTTGTCCTTCTGGTTCTGGCCTCTTTCTCTCAGCACCGTGTCCTCAAGGTCCATCCAGATAGTAGCAGGTGTCAGGATTTCTTTTTAAGGCTGAGCGGTATCCATTGCACGTATGGACCATTTAGTTCCTCCATACACTTGCTGATGGACACTTGGCCACTCCCACTTCTTGGCTACTGTAAATAATACTTCTGTGCCTATTAGCATACAAATATTTGTTGGGGACTCTGCTCTCAGTTTTGGGGAGTATGTATCCAGGAGTGGGATTACTATATCACGTATTTCCACGTTCAACCTTGTGAGGACCTTCTGGACCGTTGTCCACAGCAGCTGCACCTTTTACTTCCTGCCAACAGTGCTTGAGAGTCCCAGCTTCTCCGCATCCTAGCCAGCACCTGCTGCTGTCTGGCTTTGATAGTGGCCGTCCTCACAGGCTGAGCCCCCATGCTCTTTGGTGCCCGGTCGTTCCCCAACCCCCGCCCCCGCCCGCCCAGCAGCAACCACTGACCGCTTTCCACCAGGAAGTCCAGCATAGGGCCTCTGCACACATGAGAGGCAGTGGTCCTGGGGCCAGGGGATGTGAGGGCTGGGGCGATGGCTGAAGAACTCACAGTTTCATTTTGGGGTGATGAAAATGTCCTAAGCCTGACTGAGGTGACAGTTGCTCACAGCTGCAAAGACACTAAAACCACTGAACTGTACACCTTTGACAGGTGAATTGTATGGCATGTGAATTATAGCTCAGTGAAGCTGTTTTTAAAAAAGTCAACTAGTGGGGTGCCTGGTTGGCTCGGTTGGTGGAGCATACGACTCTTGATCTCGGGGTTGTGAGTTCGAGCCCTACGTTGGCTGTAGAGATTACTTAAAAATAAAATCTTTAAAAAAATCAACTAGCAAGAAGGGCAGTCTTATGGAGCTCCTTCCTGTGAGCTGTGGCAGAGTCCTCCACGCAGGGCCACGTCCTCACCCTAACATCGCGCCATCTTGCATGCATGTGGGCGTCCCCCCAGGAGAGAGGCTGAGAGGTGAGGTCCATCAGAAACCACTTGGAGTAGGATGCTCTGCTCTGGACACTCAGTGCTTTGTCACAGCCGTGGTTCCCCAGACCTGTGACTTAGAGCAAAGTGTGGTGGGTGCTATCCTGCAGCCTGTTCAGTTCCAAGCTCTACTCCATCCTCCGGCACCAGGCCCAGCGGAGTCCTCGGGTTCCTGGGGCTGGCCCTGCCAAGATGTACCTGAGTTCCCAAGTGCCAGCCCCCCACTGGCAGGGCCACACTGAACCCCCACATCTCTGCTGAGCATCCTCGAGTCCCGGATCTTGGGTTGAGTGACCTGTGTGCCCACGTGCTTGCACCAGGCCTGGGCATGGTCACCCTCCTGGGTGGCAGCTGTGGACACAGGAGGACACGTTCTGCCAGGCCGGGCAGACCTCACATGCACAAAACCTGCCCAGACCTGTGTCCTGGGGGCAGGGTAAGAGCCAAGTTCACCCCCAGGCCCTTCATCCCCTCTGTTTCTGACCCTCCTCTCTGTCTTCCAGGCATCTGTGGGCTCCGAGAAGCTCTTTGCCCCAGCAGCCGATAAAGGTAAGCATGTTCCTTGGCCTCACCTCCTCACCTCTAGGAAGGGACAGGACACATCCCAGAAGTCATCATGGGAAGGGACAGTGGGCCTTTTGGGGCAAGAGAGTGGGCTCCAGGTTAGGCTGTATCATGGGTCGGGTTCTGGATGCAGAGCCTGAGGCAGGAGTTACGTGCTGTGATTTACAGCCCACCCCCCCAGCAAAAGCTACAAGGAAAGCAGAAGTCAGGAGCAGGGCCAGCACTGGAGCAGTGGTTCCCAAAGTGGGGTTCCTGCCCCTTCCCCAGAACTGTTAGCAAGGCATGTTCCTAGACCCTCCCGAGGCTCATGGGGTCAGGTGCTCTGGGGACAACTGGCAGCTCGTGGTTTGGCACCTGCTGAGGCACCCCTGGCTGCCAGGGCCACCACTGCATACATGGCTAACATTGCCATGAAGGGACTAGATCCCTGCCCAGCAGCCCCACCCCTTGGCCGGTGGCCCCCACATGGTAGCACAGGCACATGGTGCCAGGAAGCTCTCCTGGCCTGCACTGCTCTAGAGAGTGAGTTCCCTAGCATCCAAGGCCAGGAGAGGCCATTGTCACCCAGTCTGCCAGGGTCACTGGACCCAGCACAGAGAAGGGGCCTGCTTGGAAGGCTCTGTCCAGATGGGACTGGACGCAACAGCCTTGCAGCACAGACAGGTGGGGGCCCACAGTGACCAGTCCTACTGGCCTGGGAGCAGGGCATGGTCTCCCCGTGCTTCAGGTGGAGAAGCCTCGTCCTCAGATCAAAGCATTTCTGCAAAGCCTACACATGCCAGAGTCAGGGTAGGGGATGCCAGACTGGTCTTGGGAGAGAATTTCACACAGAGTGTAACACAGAACTGTGTCCTTTTCAACAAATAATCACAAAATGGATGGACACTTACCCTCTCAACGGTCCGGAGACCAGAAGTCTGAAATGAAGGTGTTGGCAAGGCCACACTCCAAAAACTCTAAGGGAGGTTCCTTCCCTCCTCTTCCTCCTGGGTGTCATTCCCACCTCCCATGGCCTCTTCCTTTTGTCTTCGAAGGACGCCCATCACTGGGTCTAGGGCCCACCTTGTTCCAGACTGGTGTCATCTCAATATTCTTAGCTTGATGACATCTGCAAAGACCCTTTTTCCAAATTAGGTCACATTCACAGGTGCTAAGGACCACAGTTTGGACAGGGCTTTTTGGCACAGTTCAGCCCACTGCCAGGTCCACTCATGCACGTGTGTAGGCAGAGCTCGGGCAACCAGTCAGGGTTCTGCAGTGCCCAGGGAGGCTCATAGCAGGGGTGACCACCCGTAGTGCTCATGCCTCCCCAGTGAGGGGAGAGGCTGCAGGAGGGCCAGGGCACTGGCCGCACACAGCTCTGCCCAGCCCACACCTGCCTCTTTCCATCCTCATGGCTGTGCTTACTTTGCAAGAGGTGGCACAAACATGGAGGAGAGAGAGGTCAGAGTGCCAGGCCGGCAGCCCTTGGCAGCTGTGAGCGGGTGGGTAGAGATGGTGCCATGAGCCATCAGGCCTCAGTCCCCGTTCTCGTGGCGGTGGTGGCCTCCTCCCCAGTTCTGGCCCTGAGCAAACATGCGGGCTGCTGGTTAAAGCAGGAGGTGTCACCCAAGAGGAGGCAGAAGGAGCCATTTCCTGCTGCCACCAGTTTCTGCCAGGGGAGGAGACGTCCCAGAGGTTCAGAAGAGTCCTCTGGGTCTCGCTGCCGGCCCGGGTCCCACGGCCTTGCAGCTGCAGGCTCTCTGCCCCACTCAGCGTGGCAAGTGCCCACATGGGCCCCAGGAGGACATGAAATCTGCCCACAGCCCAAATGGGGTGACCGCAATCAGGAACCTGGATTCCCACTCCTAGGAAACTGGGCCGCGGTCCGCTCCAGACAAAGCCTCCTGTGGCTGGACACGCGCCCTCTGCCTAGCCTGCCTTGGGGATTCCTGATCCGCCTGACCTCTGGGCACGTGACCTGAGACACTGCTTGGAAAGGCGGGTTTGGAATGAGTAGGAGGAGGTCAAGGTCATGAGCACACACACAGCTCCAAGGGGAGCAGTCTCGGCTGGATCTGCCTGGACAGTGGGTGTGGCGAGGGTGGGAGATGACCTGGACGGCGGCAGTTGCGGGGACTTATTCCCACCAGGTCCCAGCGAGGCCAGTCCTCCGGAGGCCTCCCAGGTCATGGGCCCAAAGAGGGCTCAGGCCATGGGTCACCTGGGTGGTTTCGAAAAGAACGCAGGCCTCTAGCGCGCGTGTTGCACAGTGGCAGGAAGGGCCTGTCCATGCGGGCATCAGGTTCGGACCAATGCCCTGCTTGGGCCAAGCGTGCGCTGCACTTTGCCCCCCTTCCGGAAACTGCGGGCTCTCTGGGCCGGCAACCCTCTTCCCCAGCCCCAGCAGGGGCCCCAGCCCTGGCCCCTGTGGAGTGGGGGGTGGGGGCCCAGCCCTGGCTATGACCTCGCTGCCACTGTCCCTGAGTCAGGCCCAGCTCACTCCGGCCCTCTCTCCGCAGGCCCCACGCTGGGCGAGGAGGCCGAGGCCAAGGCCGGGGCGCCGCCCAAAGTCTCGGGCCTGGAGCGCAGCCGCGAGTTGAGCGCCGAGCCGCCCTTCCTGCCCACGGTGCGCAGCCCCGCGCCCCCCGCCGATCCCGCGCCAGGCGCCCCGGCCAGCCCGCCGGTCAAGAAGGAAGCCCCCGCCCTGCCCCGCCTCACCCCGCAGCCGCCGCCCGCGCCCCCACAGCCCCGCGCCCCGCTCCCGACGCACGTGCCTCTGCCCCTGGGCGCCTTCGCGGGCCAAGGCCAGGCTGCGCACAACGGCCTGCACAGCCTCAGGTGGGGAGGGGAGGGGCCTGCGCGGGGCGGGGGCGGGGCCGCGCGGACGCCCCGCCCCCAGGCACTGAGCCCCCGCCCCCCGCAGCAGGAGCAGCGGCGCCGGGAGCAGCGCCAGCCTCGGGCTCGCGAAGCACGCGTCCCTGTCGCCTCTCGGGCCGGGCCCCCACCTGTCTACCTCACACTTGGCGCTCCGCTCGCAGGCCCAGCACCAGCACCACGCGGCGGCCATGTTCGCCGCCCCCCCGACACTGCCCCCGCCCCCGGCGCTGCCGGCCAACAGCCTGGTCATCCCAGGACACCCTGCCGGTAGGTGCTGGCTGGGGCCGGGGTCGCCGCCCCCCGCACTCTGATCCTCACCTCTGGGCAGGTGGGAGGGACGCGGGCTCCCCGGGGAAGGGGTGCGGGCTCCCGGGGTAGAGCCTCCCGCACCTGCTCCCGGGCCCCAGGGGCTGACGGCGGGGCCCTGGCCCCCGCAGGCCGCCTTTCCCAAGGGGGTCCCACTGCCCGCTGTCGGCCTGGGTTGTGCACGCGCACGCAGGCGCAGGGGTGCCCCGTATGTGCACATGGAAGCAGATGCATCCGCTGCTGCATCCTGAGCCCTTGCCAGGCCTAGTCAAGGGGAGGGGCGCCTGGAGCGGCTCCGCTGCTGGGCCAACAAAGGTTTCCAGGGCCTGCTGTGACCCTTGCAGTCCCTCATCCTTAGTGGGTCTGGGACGACGGGGCATGCAGAGCTGAGTCCTGGAGTAGGGGGTCTCCAGGTGAACCGCAGCAGCCTGGCCTCTCCCTCCTGCTTGGTTCTGGCAGGTGTCCCTTCAAGGCCAAATATCAGGTCATTGAAGATTTCTCCCAGGGGTCTCGTCTCCACGTTCTTTGTAAAATCCTGAGCAGCCCACCACAGGTCCGGGCAGCTTGGTGCCCTGGGATGGGACCAGGACGCTGGGCTGGGGGGGGGGGGTGGGGGGGTGGGCAGGGCTCCCCTGTGGCCAGCTTGGGGGGCACCGGGGGCTCACGGTGTTCTCTCTTGCCTTTAGATGCCAGCCTGTTGATCTCATTCAGCCAGCCAATCATGTATTGCCAGCCTCATTCGGGGATTCTGATTGGTACTTGGTCACAGGCACCTCTCTTACCTCCACCCTGGGGCCCGCACCTAGCGAGCGGCCACCACGGCTTGGCCTGCCGAAACCAGTGCCAGGTGACTATCCGCCTCGCCCCGCCCGGAGCCCGCGGCCGACGTGCCTCTCCGTCTCTCTCTCTTTTTCTCTTGTAGATCACGAGCTGCTCAGGCAAGAGCTGAACGCGCGTTTTCTGGTCCAGAGCGCTGAGCGGCCCGGCGCCCCCCTGGGCCCGGGGGCTCTGCTGCGGGCGGAGTTCCACCAGCACCAACACACACACCAGCACACACACCAGCACCAACACACATTTGCCCCCTTCCCCGCGGGGCTGCCCCCGACGCCGCTCCTGCCGCCCGCCGCACCCCCGCCGGTGCGTAGGCCCCCCGTGCGGGTGGGCGGGGGGCGGCCCGGGCGGCGGGACACACAGCAGGCACACGCAGACGCTCTCCGCACGCACGCGGCCAGGCCGCCCCGTCTGGCCACCTGGCGCCTCCCTCTGGTCCTTCTCTGGGTCCTGTCGTGAGGTTCCCTGTTGTGGGCTTGGGCGGGTGCCCCACGTCCACACTCGGGGGGCACGGCCTTGGGGCCAGTCGTACTCACATGGGGTTTTCAGCGTCTCAGTCAGCAGCAGGTCAGCAGGTCTGGAGACTGAGGGCTGAGAGGGCGGGGGGACCAGGACTCCCTCCGGTGGGCCCTGGGTCCTGGGCCCTCGTCTCTGGAGCCAGCTGCTGTGTGGGGCAGAGTCCATTGCCACCAGGCTTTAGTCTGTGAAGGGCCAGGTCGCTGGGCTCCTAGGTACATGTCCCTGCTTGACCACCAGCCCTGGGCTCTATGCCCCCCATCATGGCTGCAGTATCTCCTCCTGGGCCTCAGCCAGTACAGTCGGATGGTGCAGATGGGCCACTCTGCACCTCCCGCAGTGGGACCGTTAGAACAGGGAGGGGCCCCTCCCAGTCTGAGAGCTGGGCCCCAACGGGCCAGTTCAGGGCATTGGGCCAGTGTCCTCAGGGAGCCCAGGGGACGGCTGGCTGCAGACCAACAGCCGCCGGAAGCAGGACAGCGTCTGGGCCTCCACCTGGCCCAACGGGGGCGTGGGTGCTGGGCCCAGTGGAGGGTGTGGGCAGGCTCGGGAGACCTCACTCTCCGCTTCTTTCCTTCCAGTTTGATAAGTACGCACCCAAGCTGGACAGCCCCTACTTCCGACATTCCAACGTGAGTGTCCCTCTGTGGTCACCGGGCTGGCCGGTGGGCTAGAGGTCGCGGGTAAAGGGTGGGGCTGCGCCTGCCCAGAGCCTTGTCAGGTTCCCTTCCATGTAGAGCAGGGGGCCAGGCCCAGCGTCCCCACCCAGGATGTCCATGCTCCCAGCCGGGGCCCTGGAACGCTCCCCCTCTTTCTCTTGCAGTTTTTCCCGTCCTTCTCTTCTGCCATCCCCGGACTGCCCACCCTGCTCCCACACCCAGGCCCCTTTGGGTCCCTACAGGGTGCTTTTCAGCCCAAGGTACCAGCTGCTCCTGGGGTGGACGGGGTTCAGGGCACATGGGAGCCCCCGCCATGCAGTTGTGTGTTGCAGTCCTGGTGTTGGTGTGAGCCAGCCGTGCCAGGTGGGATGTGGTTGTGCAGCCGCACGGCAGGAGGGGGCTGGGGCTCACGTACTCCCTGCGGGGCCTCACAGGACCCCCGCCTAGGCAGCGGCAGGGGGGTCACCAGGGAACAACGGGAGTCAGGCTTCACGCGTCATTCCTCAGCTGGGAGTGCTCGAGGTTGGCGTGGGGAGTCTCAGGGCAGAGGGGAGGTCTGTGTGGGGTGGCCAGCACGGGGCCATCCACGCCGCAGGAGGCCCGGGAGAGGACTGGGCTTGCTCCTCTCACCTTCCCCAGAGCAGGGCTGCCTCAGCCCCCTAAGCCAGGCATGTCCTTGTCGAGAGCCCCTTCCCACCTTGGCAGAAACCTTTGGACTGAGGATGTGGGAAGCCAGGCCCCCCCGGGTGGCGGTGTGCAGGGGCGCGGGCTCTGCAGCTCTGTCCCATCCTGTTCTCTCCCTCCAGACTTCAAACCCAATCGAGGTAACAGGCCGGGCCAGTGCTGTTCACACTCTCCTCCAGAAAGGCCCCGGGGTAGGTGGCCGCACTGCCCATCCTCCCCTCCCTGGGGTCACCCCAGCCAGCCCAGTCCCCTTGTGGCGATGGTGGCAGGGCATGGCCCCCCCCAGAGCCTGGACCTAACACCTCCTTCTCCGTCGTGACAGGTGTCCGACCCATACCGGACCACGGTCAGGGTGAGTGTGCAGGCACATGTCTGTGCGCGTGTGTGCCTGTGCCCTTGGGAGGGAGGGTCGTGGCTGAGGAGGACTCTGGGTGCCTCCCGGATGGCCCCAGGGGTGCCCGACAACAGGAATCGGGGGGTGCTGAGGGCGCAGAAGGAAGAGGCCCCACTGTGTGGCTGAGTGTGTGGCCCGCCCTGTCACAGAAACCTGGGAAGTGGTGTGCCGTGCACGTGCAGATCGCCTGGCAGATCTACCACCATCAGCAGAAGATAAAGGTGAGCCGGTCACCTGTCCTGCCGGCCGGGCCGGCGGGTCAGACGGTGTCCTGATACACGCCTTCGGGGCCGCGTCTGAGATCCTCAGACATTCACCGTGTGCCCGTCATGTGGGCACACGGGGCAGGGCTGGGGAGGAGGCCGGGTGGTAGGGGTCGCCCAGGATGCCCCCAGGCAGGGGTTTGGGATGAGCTGACCCTGTGCCGTTCCCACCAACATCATTTGAGCCATCCACGTGACCTTCGGTTCTGTCCCCTGACCTTTCCTCCAAGCACTTATTGAGCACCTGCTGTGTGTGCCTGGGTGCTCAGCAGTGAACGGGGGACACTGAAGGGGGCAGGGTGGTGCCAGGTGGCCACCCTGGCCGTTACCCAGATAACATGAGGAAGAGGCAGCCACGGGTGCTCTGGAGACGCGCCATGGGCTGGGGATGCCAGGGAAGGGTGGGCAGAGGTGGTCTGGTCACCCGGACCAGAACGGGGGCAGCCAGGGGCCCAGCCCCCCGACCCAGAAGGGTCCTGACACCCTCTGCTGCTATCTCTGGTCACACGCACCGCCGTGCACGGCTGTCAGAAATGATCCCGCCAACGTGCACTGCGAGAAGTCCACAGGGTCTTAGGACAAAGCACTGTTGCACTCCGCAAATGTTCGGGCGTAGCCCCGGGGGCGGCCCCTGTGGGCCAGAGACCCCCACTGCTGGGACAGGGCGCCAGAGGTGGGCAGCGCCAGCGAGCACTCGGCCCGGCCGCTTAGCCTCATGGGACCATCACAGCAGAGCCACAGGCTTGTTTGTCTTATTTAATAAACTTAAACGCTAATAGCGATGCCAAATCCAGTCCCTGGAAACTTCTAAGCATGTTTAAAACGACAGGTATAGGAATCCACTCTTTCAACTCGGTTTCACAAAATCTTACCACAGGTAAAGTATTACCTGTGAAAATGTAATGTCTGAACTGAGGTGCTTTAGCGTAAACACAGCTCTCAGAGGCCCCAGAAGGCACGAGACACCCCTGTGTCCATCATGCGTCCTGACAGCACCTGGCTCTCCTGGGTCAGGATGAGGGCCCGTTCCCACCACAGCAGGTAGGATGACCCACAGCACCTGGCAGGACGGGCGGGCCCTGCATGTGCTCTGTCCCTCTCAGCAGATGCAGCTGGACCCCCACAAGCTGGAGGTGGGCGCCAAGCTGGACTTGTCCAGCAGACCCCCTGCCCCGGGCGTGTTTGCCGGATTCCACTACCCGCAGGACCTGGCCCGGCCCCTCTTCTCTGGCTCGGGTAAGGCACCCTGTCCAGAGCGCAAGGAAAGGGGAGGTCCGGCCTGTTCCCTGGGCTAGCGCTCCAGCAGGACAACTCCAGATGCCCTGGGGCACCCCCTGGCATCCCCTGCCTCCATGCCACCATGTGTGGTACCCTCTCCAGGCGCCCCCTCTGCCCTGGAGCTTCCGCTTCTGCTGTCCCCCCGCCCCCACCCAAGGCAGGGGTTGAGGGGGGAGTCCTCCCCTGCGCCCGGCCTGCCCATCGCCCAGGAAGGGTTTTGGCAAGCCCCCAAGAATCCCTGTGCCTGCCCTGGCACAGTCTTGCCAGGCTGGGGCCCCCGGGCTACCCCCAGGTTCGAGGATCATGGGGAGCCCTTCCAGGACTCAGCATAGGTCGCCCCCACAGCTAAGATGTGTCCCAGGGAAGGGATGCAGCAGAATGAGCAAAGGGGAAAGGCGCGTGGGGTGAGAGCAGCGGGAAGCCGGGCGCAGGACTGCTGAGGGCTGGCCTGTGGAGGCCCAGGACGCATCCCATTTCCTCGGCAAGGAACCGAGACGGCGCGCGCCAAGTGCCGTGTTGCCGGGACGCTCACAGACCCAGCGCCCAGGGCTCTTCCTGGGGGCGGGTCACGCAGCTCCTCTGCCCGCACACACCCAAACCACAGACTCCCAGAAGAGAAGCAGGCGCTCCGCGTGAACCAGTGTTAGCACAAGTGAGTCAGGTTCACGAGGCGCTGCTGTCCAAGAAAGGGGAGAACCTGAGCCCCGAGTTCCCAGCCTCACACGCAGGGGCTTCCGAGGCCGGCCGTCTGGGCCCGCGGTGTGAACACCCCACACAGCTGTGCACGGCCCACCTCTGGAGGGGTCCGCTCCTCCCCTCCCCAGCGGTCAGGGCCCTGCGGGTGCCGCCTTCTCAGCCCTCCCTGACTGCCCTGCTCCATCTTCATGCACGCTCACCTCCACCTGCAGCCACCTCCCACCCGGACATGCGGTCAGCAGGCTGGGGTGCTGGGTGTGGACAAGGGCACCCAGGCTGGCCTCCGGACAGAGGGGTGGCCCTGAGAAAGCAGAGGTCCTCCCATCTGGGCTTCAGTCCGTGGAGTCCACAGGATGTGTGTTCATTGTGGGGCCCAGGCAGTGGGCCTAGGCTTCCTCTGCCGTGTGGAGCCTGGACTCCCCGCCCACCCACAGCGCAGCCCTGCTGTGCCGTCCCCACGCCCAGAGCACGCCCCCCAGACCGGGCCCCAGGCTCACGGGCGCCAGCGGCCTGCCCTGCCTGTCGGGCGTTGTGTCCTGCGGCGGGGCTCTGCCCCGGTCTGGGGTTGGGTGTCTCTCCCCCCGCGTCTGTGCTACCGCCCTTCCCAGCTCCCAAGCTGGACGCCTGCCTGTCGGCTCGTTGGCTTTGGCTCCCTGCGTGTGCTCTTAGAGCAGCGCATCCCCCCACGCCCGCAGGTACACATCTTCACTAGCGCCACAGCAGGCTGTGTAGGAAATTATTTCCTAATTTCCAGTTTGATGTCCTGCGAGCGATTCAGGAGAGCGGCTAGCTTTCTGGTGGGGAGCTCCCGGAGATGAGAAACTGCGTGTGTGCGGTGGAGGGGCTTGCCGGCGGCACCCCAGCAAGCAGGTGTCCCCCCAAGCTGGGGGACACTGCAGAGACGAGTGTGGCCCCATCCTGGTCTATGCCAGGAATCCGCCCTCCTGAACCAGGGGCGCGTGTAGTGGCAGGGCCAGCCCCCCCAGAGCAGCAGCCCCTTCTCAGGGCCAACTCAGCCGCCCTGGAGGTGCTGCGGGCCGGGCTCCAGCAGAGGCAGGGTGGGCCCGCCGGCGAATGGTGGAGCTGACCACGTGGTGACCCCTGTGGGCTGTGGCTGGGGGACATCGCGGGAGCAGGTGCGTCCACTAGGACACTGCTTCTTAGCTTCTAGCTGGAAGCCCTGGGGCCAGTGTCTTCAGGACAGCCTTGGTAGCTCTCGGCACCTTCTCCTCTGGGGCCCCTGCTGCCATCGCCTCTCTCCCCTCCTCCCTCGTGAGCTTCCAGTGGGAGGTATAGACGTGTCCCCAGAGGAAGTTGGGGTGTCCCCACCCTGGGAATGACCCACAAACAGGAGGCCCCCATCCACTTGCCCCCACAGGTGCTGCCCATCCCACCACCAACCCATTTGGACCCTCAGCCCATCCCAGCAGCTTCCTGACCACCGGTCACCTGACAGGTAAGTGCACTGTCTGCTCCCTGGAGGCTGGCTGGCCCTCTGCAGCCCTCAGGGCTGGGGGAGGATGCAGGTGGGTGGGGAGGTGACCCCAAGAAGCAGGACATGCCTCAGACTGTATAGGAGCACCTGCCATGCTCTGGTGTCACAGGAGGGGAGTCAGGTGAGAGCCCTGGCATGAACCACGCAGAACCCTGAGCCCAGGTTGTCCCCACAGATCCTTTCAGCAGGCCGGGCACCTTCGGGGGCCTGGGGAGCCTGGGCAGCAGCGCCTTCGGAGGCCTGGGGAGCCACGCACTGAGTGAGTGACCACCGAGCTTGCTCTCTGCTCACTCGCATGCACGCACACTCGGGCTCCTGGTGTGGGTTTGGGCTAGACCCCGACTGTTACCCTCTGGCCACCTCCCTGGGATGCAGGAATGGTGTGCTTCTCCCCAGCAGCCCTGCGGTTCCACAGGGCACCCTCGGTGGGGGCAGGGAAGCTGTCCTGGCCTCACATTCCTACCCTTCTCCAGCTCAGGGCAGCGGCATCTTTGCCCCCAAGGAGAGCTCTGTGCTGCATGGCCTGCCCAGCCCCCACGAGGCCTGGAACCGACTGCACCGGGCACCACCCTCCTTTCCCACACCACCCCCATGGCCTAAGCCCGTGGACCCCGATCGGGTCTCAGCCCTGACCAACCACGACCGAGAGCCGGACAAGGGCAGGGAGGAGAGGTGAGTGGCGCCCCCCTCAGCTCTTGTGGGCCCCAGCTGGCTTTGCGGAACTCTGGGTGTGGGCCAATCCAAGCTCAGCGTGGAGATCCCCCTTGCTGTACCCTCAGGGCTGGGAAAGCCCAGTAGAGAGAGGGCCCCCGTGGAGAACCCCTGATGGAGCAGGATTTGGGCAGGAGCCGTGCAGAGGGCAGGTCCACCCCTGGAGGCAGCAGCAGGGAAGGTCGGCTCACTGACCACAGCGGGGCCTCTGCAGGGAGTAGAGCATTCGCAGGGAGTAGAGCATCGGCATCTCCTAGGTGGGGCTGGGTCTGGGAGGGGCACCTGTGGGCGAGTCCCCGGGCTGGGAGGGTGGGGCTGAGCGGGCTGCCCTGGGGCAGCAGGGCTAAGCTGGGACAGGGGAGGTGGGAGTCCTATTCCAGAGTCGGCAGCAGAGTCTGGAACCTGAGGTGGTTGAGTTGTGGCTGGCTGGCGGAGTGGACAGGAGCAGAGGAGGGCTCCCAGCCTCGCCCCTCCTGTCGGGGGTTCCCTACCAAGGCCCTGGGGGCCAACCCTCATCCCTGCCCCCAGACTCGGGGCAAAGGGCTTAGAGGCACAGGGCCGTGGAGCCTCATGAAGGGGAGCTATGGTAGGCCAGAGCCAATGCAGGACTCCAGGGTCCCATCCCCAGAGTGAACTTGGGGCCCAGGTTCCTCACTGAGGGTCTGTCCTGCCTCAGGGGCGTAGCGGCTTGGGTCTGTGGGGGGAGCTCTGGGGTCCTGCTGCAAAGCTGGTTTCCAAGTTGTTTGTCGAGGGGAGGGGAGATGTGGGGTATTGTGGGGCCTTGTGAGGGTGTGGGGACCCCCCCCCAACACACACATACCTCCCCAAGGACCTTGAGGTCATACAAGTGGGAACTTGGTGGCAAACAGCTTGCTTCCGGGCACCCTGTTCACGAAGCCCCTCCTGCCACTAGGCTGAGTGAGGGTGTCTGTCTTGTCGCTCCCAGGGACCTCCTGGAGAAGACGCGCCTGCTGAGCCGGGCCTCGCCCGCAGCCCCCGTGGGCCACCCAGCCAGCAGCCTCCTCCTGCGCGGCCAGAGCGAACCGTGCGGGCCCGGGGTCCCTGCTGAGCGCGAGGCCGAGCCCCGCGTCAAGGAGAGCCGCTCTCCGGCCAAGGAGGACGGCGCCAAGCTGGCCGCGCGCCCGCCATCTCCCTACAGCAAGGCGGTTCTGGGCGACAGCCTCCGCCTGGCGGGCCTCCTGGGCCGAGAGCCGGGGAAGCCGCCCGAGGCGCCGGCCGAGCGGCCCCAGGGCGACGTCAAGGTCAAGGAGGAGCGCAGGGAAGACAGCGACGCGCCCGAGCCCCCAGGGGCCGGCCTGCACCCGGCGCCCGAGCGTCCGCGCGCGCCCCCTGCGCCCCTGCAGCTCGGGCCCAGCCCGGCGGCCCGCGAGCGCCTGGGCTTCACGTGGGAGCCCCTGCGCGACGCCTACCGCGGCCTGGAGCTGCCCCGGCGCGCCCTGCCCGCCGCCGCCCCCGCCCCGGGCCCCGCCGCCCTCTTCGAGCCCCCCGAGCGCCCCTACCGCGACCGCGAGCCGCACGACTACAGCCCAGAGCGCCTACGGGAGGCGCGCCGCGAGGAGCTGGAGCGCGCGCGGGCCGCGCACCTGGGCGCCGCCGCGCACCTGCCCGCCGCCGCGCACCTGGACGGCGCCGCGCTCCTGCCCGCGCTGGGCGCCCTGCACTACCCGCGCCTCGGGCCCGCCGCCGCCGCGCTGCACAACGGGCTCCTGGCGCGGACCCCGCCCGCCGCCGCCGCCGCCGCGCTGGGCGCGCCGCCCCCGCTGGTGGCCGCGGGCGGGCCCCCCACGCCGCCCGGGCCGCGGCCGCGGAGCAGGACTACGCCGCTCGGGGGCCATGGGCCCGAGGCGCGCGACTACTCCCCGTCCCGCAACCCCCAGGAGGTGGAGGCGCGGTAGTCCCCGCGGGACCCGCACCCAGCGTGCAGAGGCCCTTCCACAAATGCACTGCTGTAAACTTTTCTACGTGGACGTTTCTAGAACCTAAGCACAGCGCCGTCAGTCCTGGGGTGACGCTTGCTTAACACCCGAAGTCGGCACAGTCGGGGAGCTTCATCCACAGCTTTGCTGGGGGTGATCTTTTGTTTTCTGAGCTTGAAATTAGGCTACTGGAGGAGAATTCAAGTTTGTACATCTTTTCCCACAGGTGAGAAGCGTTTTTAATAGATTTGTATTTTTTTCAATTTTGTGCTCTTTAGACATTTAAAAAGAAAAGAGAAACTTTTGCTTTTTTATCTTCAGTTCAGATTTGCAATGTAAAGGCCTCAGATCCCTCTCTGGAGCCCCAGGATCTTTTGTCTTATTTATGGAGAAAAAACGGTCATTTTGTCCAGCGCACTGTGAGGCCCCCACTCAGGGCCCGCCTGGCCCTCCCTTGGTACTTGGAACCGAAGTTACAGATATATATTAAAATAATAATTAATAATAATGTACAAAACTTTTTTTGCTTTATTATGCAGAAGCATAAGAGGATTTCTTTTTTGGTTTGTTTTTAAAGAAAAAACAAATATGTAAATAGTCTGTTAATATAAATATATGATGTTATTAAATTCTTAACCTAGGTAGACTTTATAAAAGGCAGTTTCTAGAAACCTCTCTGGTTATTTGTTTAACATGGTCACAAAAAACCCACTTGCTGTCAATTGGACACGCTCAGAAGCTTAACTGCAGCAGATCCTTCACTATGCAAGCGCTCAGAGGTGGGACTGGGCCGCTGTCTGGGGAGGGCCCTTCCCCCAGCCTCGCAGCGAGCTGGGCCCCGCCCTCCTCGGGACTGGCCGGGACTGGCCGGCTCTGGCCGCAAGGACACTGCTGTGGACCCTAGTGCTCACTTGAGCAGCGTTCTCAGAATCCATACCAGACAAGTAGATTTTTAGGAGTGAAGAGTCTAAAGGTTCATTGCAATCAGAAATAGTAACTTCTGTCCACTTTCCCTTCCATGCAAAGGCCATCGGCAAATGTCCCTCAGTGCGCTCCTCCACCTACGGAGGCCTTGGCATGATCTCCTTTTGGTTTCGGTTTTGCTTTCATAACCACCCGAACATCCCCTTGTCCTGTCCTCAGCGTCCTTCTCTGTTCCCTGACGTCCCCACCTGTGTCCACTGCACTCTTGAGCCTTGTTGGTTCGACCGTCGGCAGCCATCTGCTCTGTTCTGTATTTTCAACCCGTGTTTCCACTGTGGACTCTGGTTGTTTTAAACACTGAGTTCTCGTGTCAATCAATGAAGATAAATACAGCCTTGATTTTGGATCACAAGGTGGTCGGGTGTTTCTGTGTGGCACTGTAGAAGGTGGGGGTTCTCGGCCCCAGGACTGCTGTGGCGCATTGGGCAGAGCCGGGCCGCCGGTCACCCTTGCCTAGAAGCAGAGCACCTTCGCGGGTCTCGGCCTTGCATCTCCGGCTCCGCCTGGACCGGCACTGCCAGGGCTGCTCCTGCTGCTGGAATGCCCTCCTGCCCTTTGCCTGCCGCCTCCACCTTGGCTCATCCCCACCCTGTCAGCCTGCTCAGCCTTGTCCTCTCTGTGCACTGGGTGGAGGCTCACATCCGTGTAGGGCTGGCCTTCCTCCTGCCCGCACTGGCCTGGCCCCACACAGAGCCAGGTGAGCCTTTTGTGGACAAATGAGGGCTCAGGGAGGGAGGGGGCAGAGGCAGAACTGGCCACCTCTACTCTCAGGAGGAGAAGGGCAAGGGGCCGTTATCCCTACCCCATCCTTGGTTTGGAAATGGGGGCTCTGAGTGGATTTAGGTGAGCAGCCAGGCCTGGAACTGTCCTGAGCCTAAGAAGGGCCCCCCTATGGAGGGTTGGGGTACCCCACATGGAGCCCACTGTGCCCAGTGGCCCACGCTAAACCCCACCCAGCTCTCAGGGCAGGCCCGCGGCCAGCCCCGTGGTCCCCGTGGCAGCCCAGGTGCGCACCGTGAAGGAGGGACAGCCGGCTATCTGAATAGGACCTCCGCCTGGGAAGTCCACCAGCCCCCAGGGCCCTGGGAAGCTCCCCATAGGTGTAGTGGGCCCATGGATGCCAATCAGGCTCTCCCCTTGACTGAGACCACCTGGGAGTCCAGGGATATCACGTAAAGGAATAAAATATTTGAGCTAAAAGCCAGAGGACACAGTCCGCATTGAACCACGGGGTGGAGGGGAGTAGGCCAGTACTTCTCACTCCTGTCCCAGGGAAGGCCCCCTGGTGGAATGTCACCCATGGGAGAGAGTGTTGGTATCTGCACTGGGGCAGGCTGTCCCATCCTCGAGGGATGTCATTTTCAAGGGGTTACTCTCTCTAATGGAATGTTATCCTTGAGGAGGATGACTCATGATGGAGCAAAATCCATAGTGAAATTCTGGCCCCTGGGGAGCTCTCTGGGGGAGCGTCCTCCTGGGAGCATTCTGAGGGAATGTCCTCCTGGGAGCACTCTGGTGGGCGCCTCCTAGGAACACTGGTGGGCGCCTCCTGGGAGCACTCTGGGGGAGTGTCCTGGGAGCACTCTCTGGTGGGCACCTCCTGGGAGCACTCTGGGGGAGTGTCCTGGGAGCACTCTGTGGTGGGCACCTCCTGGGACTGGTGGGCACCTCCTGGGAGCACTCTGGGGGAGCGTCCTCCTGGGAGCACTCTGGTGGGCACCTCCTGGGAGCACTCTGGTGGAGCACTCCCCACTAAAGAAAGGCCCTAGTCTACAAGAGTGGCCTATAAGGGACTGTTATCTGTAATGCAGCACCAGAGTCCAGGGACCCAGGGTCCACACTGGAACATCACTCCCTAGGAAGCGTCTTTAAAATCAGAATAAATGGTTGTCAAATAAAGATTTTCTATAAAAGGATTAAAAGATATGAGTTTATAAAATTTGTAAAATCTCCTAGAAGGTAAAACAAGAAGACAGTGAGTTGAGAAGTTGAGAAAAAATAAAATACATAGAGGGCCTTCCCAGGATGCCCATCATCTGACGCATAGAATTTTCAGGAAAAAACATTAACAGGAGGTGGGGCTGGGGGGGCATTTAAAGGAAGTGATATGAAAAGCAGCCCGCCAGTCAAGAATAAAGACATTTTCAGACATGTGTTTATTCCCTGTGTCCTCTCTTTGGAAGCTACCAGAGGAAAATCTCAAACTAAGGTTGTAAACCAACAGAAGAACCCACATGAGGGGGGCCGCGGAGGGAAGACCCAGGACAGCGTCTGTGCCGCAGGCCGGCGAGCCCTCCCGCGCCCGGGTCGTGCCATCAGCCCCGCCATTCTCTCCATGTGGACGCCAGAATTAGCTGGTCAGGCTTTTGTTCATTTTCCTCTGGGACCTTTATGTTGGGATAGCCCTGGATTCACAGGTTGATTTGGGGGAAGAACTGACATGTTTACAGCATCGATTCTCCCCAAAGCACCACGCGACCCACTCATTTCTCTAGGTGTCCTTTTCTGTTGTCTGGTAAAGGGTTGAATTCCCCACGTAGGGCTTGCAGCGTCTTGTGACCCGTATTCCTGTGTGTTTTATGCTTTTAATAATGTTGTCTGTTCGCACTGGTTATTAGGATCGCACAGAATGGCCCGGGGCCGTATGTACTTGCCGCAAACGGAGCCGGGCGGACGTCCGCGCTAGTTACCGCACTCCTCCTGCAGCGCCTTCTGAGGGCACAGAGGGACCGCGCTCCTGGCCCTTTGTGGTCAGGGGCGGGACTCGCTCTGGGCAAGTCCTTGTGTTGCTTCCCAGCTGGGGTGCATTTAACCGCCAGTGTGAACACCCCCTCCAAACTGCCAGCATCCAGGACTGTTCCCAAGGGTGGCCGCTCTGTCGCGCTCGTGGGGAGAACACGGCCCAGTGTTGGCTGAGCCGCGTGGAGCGTGCAGTGCGGGCAGGAAGTGAGCCCCCGAAATTGGGCTGCTCATCAGGGCCGCACAACCTCACCTGGCCTGATACACATCTACTAACCCCTCCCCCTGTCCCACCAGTTTTCGGGTGATTTCCTTACTTCCCAGGCGGAGGTCCTATTCGGACAGCCGGCTGTCCCTCCTTCACGGTGCGCACCTGGGCTGCCACGGGGACCACGGGGCTGGCCGCAGGCAGGGACCCTGCCTTTGTTCCTGCCTGTGCCGGGGGCCACTCTAAGGCCCCACAGTTCCGGACATTTGCAGGATGGGGAGTTTGATACCCAGGTACTAGATCTTCTTTAATTTCAGCTTCCTCCATACGGCCCCGGGGCCATTCTGTGCGATCCTAATAACCAGTGCGAACACACAACATTATTAAAAGCATAAAACACACAGGAATACGGGTCACAAGACGCTGCAAGCCCTACGTGGGGAATTCAACCCTTTACCAGACAACAGAAAAGGACACCTAGAGAAATGAGTGGGTCGCGTGGTGCTTTGGGGAGAATCGAGCTCTGGTTGCCTCTCCACTGCAGACGCTCCCCTTTCCCAGTAATGGTAAAAATCAGACACAGGGGTTTGATGTCACGTGTTCAGCGTCTTTGTCCCCGGTGGTGTGCTGATGGGCGTTCTGGTGCTGGTCCGCTGTGGATTCGTTCGTCCACGTGTTTATGTCATTGCCCACTTGGTCACTGTGACCAGCAGTCAACCGCCTTGATTCAGACACTCTTACTTGGGAAATGATTTTAAAAGTTGTGGTCTTGCCCACTTGAAGCAAACAAACTTCACTCCACGGCCCCAAATCCCGAGGAGGAAACGGGGACTCCGTTCTCCCGAGTCAACACCATACCTGACTTTGCTAATCTTTCTGAGGATCTCGCGTGTTTGCCCGAGGAATTGGGGGGCAGCGTTTCTGGGCTGTTCTCCCCCGGTCTGGCCTCCATACATGGGGACACCAGCTTCACGGGGTGGTCTGGTGGGAGCCCAGGAAGCCCGTGAGCCCGAGCACGGGGCGAGCGCAGGCCTGGGCACTGGCTCTGGGTTCCAAAGATAACCAGTCTCTTGGCCGCGTCACTCCCTGTTCTAGAAACGATTCGGGCAATTTAGATCTTTCTGGAAAATGTGAACACATCAGCTCCCAGAGCATGCTGTAAGATGCTGTCTATCCTAGCGCGTTTCCGGGTGTGATGTCGCCGGCACAGCTGTGACATCCCTGGCGCCTCTGTCCATGTCATTCCGTGTTGCAGAAGCCACACGTCTGGGTTTCCTCCTCTCTCCAGGTCCCAGGGAGGAGCCAGGTTGCTGGGCCCAGCGCCCCACCCAGCGTCCCTCCTGCTCTGGCTCCAGACGCCCCCTCGCCGAGGGGCTCCCGCGGGGCCAGCGCCAACCAGGGGGTTCCGCTGGAGCTCTGGTTGCCTCTCCACTGCAGACGCTCCCCTTTCCCAGAGAACAATACGTGTGCAGCGCGCCCGCCTCCCACCACCACCACAGTATTAAAGCCATAAAGCTCTTTCCGGGGTGCGGCTGCCCTGAGCTGACGGCACCCCCGGGAGGGGCCACATGGAGGGACAGCTGCATCTAAACAGTACTAACCAGGGGCTGACACCTCTTGTTATTTCTCAGTGGTTTGTTCTGGGAGGAGAGACCACGGGTGTAGGTTCCTAGAAGCTCCTGCACCCCGACCCCGCGCCGCTCGCCCCGCGCTCTCGGGGAGGAAGGGACGCCATGCACCCCGAGTGCCAGGTCCCTGTGCAGAACATCTTCCCAAACCAGGGGACCCAGGTCTCAGTGGAGCACCCCCTTCCGGCCCTCCCCTGACAATGCCTTCCATCTTGACCTCACATCATGGAGAATTGTTAGTTTTAGGATCCACTTGGCTTCAGCTGGAGCTGACTCGCGAAAAATGAACATGCCGTGCACGACCTCTGATAGGAATATTGTGCGCAGAGGGCAGCGGCTTTACCCTTCCCCCTAGGGTGACTTTGTCACGGGTGGGGGCAGGAGACGGGCACAGGCTGGGGGCCCACACTCGGGACCATGGCCTTTGGCCTTTCTGGGTCCAGGAACCCCTCTTCGATGTCAGGAGCTTGATGGGGACGTGGCGTCCGTTTGGGAAAGTGAAGGACACTCTGCACGGTGGTGACAGCTTCACATGGTGTGAGTCACTTAATGCCCCTGAGCTGCACCCACAAAGTGGCTAAGGGGCGCTATGTTCTACTTTATCACAATGTTTTAATTGCTTGCTATGACTTACAGTTTAGCCAGGAAAAAAAAAGTCCAGGGAAAGGACAGATCACTTCCCCCCAAAAGGCACACAGGCATGCACCCCCATTGCCGGGGTCTTGGGGTCCCTGGGCACTCGGGGCCGCATCAGCACGTGCTGATTACTCCCAGTGG